TATCATATTTTTAAGATATAATTGCACATAATAAAATTTATCCCTTAAACTGTATTAGGGGCAAATTTGCCCCGAATTTTTAAAAAACTTTAAAAATATCCAAATAAAATAAAAAATTATTAATAATATGGGGTATATATTATTTATAAAAAATATTATTCAAAATATATTCTATAAACTTTATTAAAAAAATTTTTTAATATTATTAAAGAATTTTTATATAATAAAGATTTAAAATTTTTAGTTTAAAATTTTTACTATAAGATTTTTCTTTAGATTTTTAAAGTTTTATATGTTTTTGTCTATAAAAATTTTTTTTGTTTCTAATATAAGTCTTAATTTTTACAAGTAACTTATATAAATAAAAATAATAAAAATTATCATCTTTTTTATAATCTATAATTTTATATTAACTTTATATTAAAAAATTATAAATTTAATATTAATATTAAAGAATATATTAAAAAATTGTAAATTATGTTAAATTTTACTAAAATTATATATTTTTAAATTATAAACAATTCAATTTTTTTTTCTTATAATTTCAATACAAATATTACAAAAATATAATTTTTATTTTCAAATATTATCAAAAAAAAATTTATAATTTTTTTAAAAAATAGATCAGAAACAATTTTATAAAAAAAATTAGGGGCAAATTTGCCTCGAATTTATATACAGTTTAAGGGATACAGTAACTACTTGTTTACTTATCTAATTATTGCTATTTATACTGTATATCTACTTATTGCTATTTATCTATTATTTATTACTACTTATCCACTATTTATTTACTTATTGCTGTACAATATAGAATACTTATATGACTTTAAATAAATTTCCGAGTTTGTTTATTTTTTATCATAACTTTACCCAATCGGCAAAATAATAATAAAAATCTTTAGACAATTCAGGATTTTGGGCTATTGAGATTCTGTCAATGTTAGAATTTTGACGTCAAAATTTTGGTTTGACGGGATCCTGTCTCTGTCGTGAGTTTGTCTTTGTTTAGTATGTTGTTGGGATTTTGAACTGTCATGATTATGTCATTGTCAGGATTTTGGCTTATCGAGATTTTGATTGTTAAAATTTTGTCTATACCAAGATTATAGCGCTTTGCAAAAAGATATGACCCCATGATTTTTGTGATGATGAATGAGGAAAATTTTTGAGATTCTAGATTGTCTATTAATTCATATTTTCGATCAGTTATACTTATATTTATTTGAAATCGATAAGATTCTTAAAATCGATGGAATCTCTGATTTTCATGCGACATTGTGACCTGCAGAGGTCACATCTTTTTGCAAAGCGCAATACAAATTATATATTATTAATTATGTTATTTACACTTTAATAAAAACACTAGGCTAATACATAAAATTTTGAGAATACAAAGAAAGTTTAACATTTCTTGTATATTAAACAATTTTATGCTTGGCTGTTTCGTAATATCTCTAAGGGTCTTATCGTTGAGTTTTGTACTATGTTTGTTTATCCAACTGAACATATAACGTTGATTTTTGTGTTAACTAGATGAGTTTTGTAAAACAGCTAATAGTGAACATATTTTGAATCACCACATATCATGCTTTCAAGTTGAATTATTTTGACTTTCCATTGCCACAATTGAATTATACTTTTATACTTGGGATCCATATAAATTTCTATTTTCATCAAGAATATGACCAAAAATAAGATTGGTTTGATACTATTATTAGATAACTACCAAATTGAATGCGGTGCTATGCAAGACCAGACAATCAGATGTTTTAACGCATATAATATCAATATATTTACATATTAACAAGAACCTATCAACATCCACGTTTACGTTTAGCAAATTTAGTTTTTTTTTTATGCAGAAATTTAATATTTTTTGCAACAAAAACTTAAGATTTTTTTTAACACAAATTTGTTATTATTTAGTGAAACAAAACTTGAAATCAAGCAAACTTCGAACATAATATAATTTCACTATTAGAATTAGCCAGTTAATCGGATACATTAGCATTGAGTTTGAAAAGCCTAATATATACAATGATTTACTTGTAAGAAATTCCTTATTGTTATATCTAACACAATTAATAATAACACATCTCTACAAAAAAAAAAGAAAAAAGCATATGTCATTATACATCAAATGTAAATCGTAAAAAGAAACTCTGGATGAATTTTTCTCTGAAAATAAAATTCTTTTAAGAAAATATTTTGCCACTTAATTTTAATTTCTATAATATTTATTGGATCGTTTCTGAGTTCGCAATTTATTTCTTATTAGGTGTGTTGTCTGGTATTTTTATCCAGTCACCAATACAACGATCATTATTAATTTTCAAAGCATTTTCTTTGGACATTTCTTCTTTTACACTTCGCCTTTGGATTAGCAATTTCTATAAATATAGAAAATAGAATTGTAATAAAAATTATAAATAATATTTTTTAATGTTCTGGAAAATTAAATACCTTTAAAAGAACACCGAATCTTGCAATATTTAATAACTCCCATCTTTCTGAATATGTTGTAAGAATCTTAAAGTAAAAAACTTCATAAATTCTATAGGTCTTCATGCGGATAATGTCTGTTAAATATACCGAAATCAAATATTCTAAAATATAAAAATTAAATTTATTAGTACAGTTGTACAGATTTAATAATTATGAAATATATAAATATATGCTTACTATAGCCATGAATTCCGATTGATTTAAATTTCTTTGCCGTGGTTATTGAACAATTATTATTTTGTGTAAAATGATAATTAAGATCATCTACACCATTCTGCGCTAATTTAACAAAATCACTTAATTGATGTGGAAGTGCAAATTCGGTTGGTCCATATGACTGTTTGTATAAAACTGTTGCATCCTTATCATGATATAAAACAGCATCGTTTTTACTTGTGTGCCCAGCTTGTGACGGTTTTTGCAAATGATTAATATTATACGTTCGATCATTATGTGCTTCGTTTGGAATTTCACCACTGTAATCGGAAACAAAATATAAAAATTGGCATTAAATAAAAAGAACATTATATACAATACTTACAACGCAATCCCAGAAATTAATTTTCCGAAAAAAATTAGAAACAGATCAAGTATTCTGTATACTGTTTGTGTGGTCCAAGTTTTTTCGCTTCCTTCTATCTGCAATCCACCAAAATAATAATAAAGTAAGAAATGTCTACAGACTTCTCGAGTCCATAAAAATAATGGGTCTACATTATCAACTGATTTTTCGACTTTAGAAAATGCATCTTCAATATCTCCACTAAGAAGGTGCTGAATATAATCTTTTATATTTTCAGGGAGATCAAACTCGACGCTTGTATTATCAGATATTACATCGAATAATTCTTCAGCATCTTCTTTTGAAAATTCTTTAAATGGTTTGCAAAGTGGATATATGTTCCGATTTCGTAGCATGGTAAATTTTGCTTTTTCAATGCTAATCTGTGTGGTATATTTTCTTTAAATCAGTTTTATCCAGGTAAAAATATATCACTAAACATTAAGAAATAATACCAGATTCCACAAATCCGTCAAATTTAATACTTGCCTTTTTCTCTTTTTTGGAAGATTGTTCCTAAATAAATTTTAGAATAAAAATTAGAATTGACGCTATAGAACTTTCAAACATATATTAAATACAGAATCATTGTTAAAAAAAAAAAAAAAAATACCCGAATATCTAAAGAATTATTGTCCTCATAAGGTTCGTCTTGACTTTGATTTTTTGGCTCCTATACTTTTAAAATGTAAATTTACTGCGTAATACACCAATATTTTTGACCGGAATTTACCCTTTCTTTGCCAAATATTTCTCTGATCCTTAATACAAATTAACACTAACTTCTAAATCAAAATAACCTTACCATAAATTGGGCCAACCTTAAATATCAAAGAAATAATTGCCGAAGAAATAAGGTCCATGTTTTGACTCATTTGATTCGCGATAAACGTTTTGAAGGGCTTGCTTGGTGACTATCTGAAAAACGTTTTGTAGTTCTGGCAGTTGTGGACCTTATGTACGTCTTCATTTGCTGGCTTACTTCAGTTGCTACCGTAAGGTCATAATCAGCCTATTGTAATAGTAAATTAGAAATTAATTTAATAAAACGTGTGTTAACAAGTTGAAAATTTTAAGAATCTAACCTCTATATCTTCGATTTTGTCATTATTAAGTTTTTTGTTAATTGATTTCTCGTCCTTTTTTAAAAATAAATCAGACATTGGATTAATCGATTTTGAAACTATAATATAATCTATATAACAAAAAATAAATAAGCAAATAAGAGTTGAAATGAGTAAACCATAACTTGAGAACAACCAGATGGTGCGTAGGCATCCAGTTGCGCTATGGCAGCAAACATATTTTTCGATTTACAACCAGTTGGTACGTAGGCATCTAGTTGTATTAGTAACATATGTCTATACTATTCAAGAACGCCCGAGGGGAAACCTCCTCCACTCTCACCAGCCAGTGCGTAAGTAGCTAGCTACTCGGGGGTTAGTCAATACATCACGTAATTGTCCCGGGACCGGAATGTATTCTAGTCCTTGAACCTACTCATCTCCTAGTAACTAAAATATACTTAACTGCAAAACCAGATAGGTAAGTTCGTGCTAGATCACTGTTTATTGCCAGTATTTCCAAAGTTTTTTTTATATAATAAATGTTCCTTCCTCCTATCGTATGTAAAGTCAGTTCAGCTGCTCTAAAGCTTAGAAAATTAATCAATGAATAGTTTGTGGTAATTTTGAAAAATTTTTCAAGCGCTTCTTGAACTTCTAACAATAAGATAATTCCTTCATTCTCTTCCATATTAAAGTTTAGAGATATTAGAAAGTTAAGACAGCAATGGTCTTTTTCGATTTTAACAGCCACCCTACGTACGTTCGATACGTACCTTGTTTAATGCATCGGGGTGCGTCGGTGTAACAGTTTGCATAAGGAGAGCATGGTGGACAAACCCAAATTTGGATAATCGACATTATGATTTGGCCAATTTAATAACGATAAAAAAATTTTTTATACAGTTTAAAATGCTTCGTATTCTCGTGATTTTTCGAAACCTATCATTTAAATCTATTCTAAAAAGAAAGCTAGCGGAAGATCTCTGCATAATCAGTCTTATGTAGGGGTTGGACCCTGGTAGAAATTGTGCTATATGATATATAATAATTTACCTGGATAACCCCCATAGGAAGACTTTTGTATGATTGGCTGTTTAAATCAATTTAATTTTACATTATTTATACAGTTTAAAGTACTTTTCAAAAAAAAAATAAAATTACGAAGAATAAACAAAAAAAGAAGTATATAAAAAGTTTTATTAGGGTTGTAGGACTCCACTATTAAAAATAATCAAAATGATTTCTGGTTTTAGAGAAGTTAGCATGGTAATAACCTAATTCTATCTTTAAGAAGTCGCTATTATGCTAACTTCTCTAAAACTAGAAATCATTTTGATTATTTTTAATAGTTGAGTCCTACAACCCTAATAAAACTTTCTATATACTTCTTTTTTGTTTATTCGTAGTAGGTTTATTTTTTTTAAAAGTACTTTAAACTGTATAAATAACGTAAAATTAAATTGATTTAAACAGCCAATCATGCGAAAGTCTTCCTATGGGGATAACCCGGGTAATTTAATAATACCCGGTAGAGATTTTCTCAACGGGTCCAACCTCTAGTCTTATGTTAAATTAATCCCAAATACAGAAATAATCCAATATTCAAGAAGTTTTATTAGGGACGCTTTATAAGAGATCAGAGGTAATTGAATTCATAATTCGAACAGAAAAAGGTTTTTTTGGTGTTAAAACTAAAAAGGAACTAAGTTCTAATACTTTCTAAAAAAGTAATAAGACCTTGAAGAAGTTCTTATACAGTACAAAAAACAGAGTAAAAAGATAAGTAAACTTGTTTTTATATGTTTAAATCTTAAAGGTTGTATTATAAATGAACTTGTTATTTATAAGTTAAAATTTCCCATTACAGTTTAAGATACAAATGCAACGATTTAGAAACGATTTAGCAAGTATATTTATTGAATAGATTAAGTAGAAATAATATACATGCATTTAAAAATAAAATTTTGTTGAGAAATATATATATAATAGTATCGTTAATATCTTATGTTCCAGTGGGCGGGATTTGATGAATCTTATATCATTCGAGAAGTCTTAACGAGATGAGGCTAATGGTATAGGATTCATCAAATTCTGACTGTTGGATCGTTTTATTTAATTGTTCGAACAATACTGTAATAAATTTAATTGGAATAATTTGATATTAGCCAATCAAAATTTGTTATTATCATATGAATTTTACTTTTATAATTTGTATTAATTTGTATTAATTTGCTAAATTTTATTACTTTATATTAATTTATATACAAATTTTTACGGTCCACCGAAATTTTTGATCATGTGATATCAGCAAAAGTCTTTAAGTTCATTAATGTTAGGATTAGGTCTATGTTGGGCAAAAGTTAGTAATTCTAATCGTAAATCGTTCAAGAAACTTTTTGTTAATACGCAGTAGGTGGTTTCATATGCAGATTTTGATTTTTGACAAACCGAACGTTTGTTTTGGATTTCTGAACTTAAAAATTTTATGTTTTGCATTATTGATTTGATATTCTTTTATTTAACATCAGCATTATTTGTGCGCTTATAACTTAGATTATAAAAATATTACAAGCTAAATAATTTGTTCATGAATATGCTCTTTATTATTTATGTAAACAGGATAATAGTGGTCTTATACAATTTCTTGGAAAAGTTGGATCTTAAATAGCTAAACGGCCTTTGAATTTGATTCTAATGAGGTTTGTATTTGTTTACATGGTTTAATATCCTTTGCTAAGATACAATAAGAATGACACGAACATCAATATGAAATTTGTAATGGAGCTTATTATTGATATTAGGCCACACAATGCTAATTTTTCGTTTCCCATTATCCGACAACCTATTTTCAAAAAAAAAAAAAAATTTTTTTTTTTGACTATTTATTTATTTATTTTTTTCATTTGTCACTCGACCATACTATATATCAAAGCAATACATCAAACAAACACCAAACAAAATACACATATGGGATATCGTCTCGCTGCTCACGTGGTCTACAGATAGTCTCCTAGCTAATGATGTGCCACGTACTGTACTATACGTACTGTACTGTACGTACTGTACGTACTGTACGCTAAAATTTTGACAGTCATTTTATAAGCTCTGAAGTTTAGGCCATAAAACTTATAAGTTCCTAAATATCCCGAACCTATTACGGAATATTCCGAAATTACGGCATAAAAAAACATTTACTATACGTACTATACGTACTGTACGAACTGTACGTACTGTACGTACTGTACGCTAAAAAAATCCGAGTATCATATAAATGGCACATCACTACTCCTAGCATCGATCACTACTGTACTCATTCGATATCCAACCGGGTTGTCCGCCCGGGCTATCATCCTATACCACCCCAAAAAATAACTCTCTAATCTACCTAGGGCCCTCCACCTATGGCGGGTGGGTGGGTACCAACGACAAAGCTAGACTTTCGTCGAGCTAGCAGCAAAGACAAAAGAGGCAGAACAGCTTTTCGATCCAATACTCTTAAATAATCATTTACTATGATCTCATACTTACCATCGCTTATTCCATCATTACTTATTAATCACCAATTTCATCACCACTCGTTCATCATACTTACCCTCACTCATCTGACATCATAACCTGGGATCTGGGTCATGATCTCGTGACAAATAGATGCCTCGTGACTTCGTCACGGCCATAAATTCGCAGAAGCTATGGACAGTTCTTAGGGACAGTTCAGTGGCCAGAATTAGGATTAGGGTTAGGGTTAGGGTAGGTGGATTTAGTTAATTTTAGTCAGCATGCACTGTCCGTAAGAACTGTCCGTAGACTCGGCGCCATAAATTTATCTGGTATCACCTGACAGAGACCTTAATTTCAGATAATTGATAGAAAAAAAATTGAATACTAACCAAATTTTCTGATTCATTGCCATGCAAAACGAAAAATTAACTATACATGACCTTAGATATGAGCATGGTCTTTTAATTTACAGTATATTAAAAAAAAAAAATTCCGCCGCGACGATTTTGAAACACCACTTTAAAAACCTTTGATTTTTGCTAAATATGTATGCTTTATAATTATTATATAATAAAAATAGGCGGCTGCTATACATACCCCAAATTTGCTATTTGTACATCCCTATAAATTAAATTTTTTTAAAATTTGAGCGAAGATATCTCAATAATCTTCAAGCCAAATTTAATGAATTTTTTTTTATTTTAATTCTATGGATTCATAAAATTCAAAGAAAAAAAAAGTTTAATAAATTTGGCTTTGTGATTGTCAAGATATCTTTGCACAAAGTTTTAAAAAATTCAAAACGTCTATCAAAATAAAAGATGCGCCCAAATTTTTTTCAAGATTTGAGCGAAGATATCTTGACAACCACAAAGGCAAATTTATTGAATTTTTTTTTTTTTTTTTTTGAATTCTATGAATCCATAGAATTCAAATAAAAAAAGTTCATTAAATTTGGCTTGAAGATTATTGAGATATCTTTGCACAAAGTTTTAAAAAAATTCAAAACGCCTATCAAAATACTGTAGAAGCTGCGCCCAAATTTTTTTCAAGATTTGAGCGAAGATATCTTGACAACCACAAAGCCAAATTTATTGAACTTTTTTTTTTTTGTATTCTATGAATCTATAGAATTCAAATAAAAAAAGTTCAATAAATTTGGCTTTGTGGTTGTCAAGATATTTTCGCTCAAATCTTGAAAAAAATTTGGGCGCAGCTTCTATTTTGATAGACGTTTTGAATTTTTTAAAACTTTGTGCAAAGATATCTTGACAATAACAAAGCCAAATTTATTAAACTTTTTTTCTTTGAATTTTATTAATTCATAGAATTAAAATAAAAAAAAAAATTCATTAAATTTGGCTTGAAGATTATTGAGATATCTTCGCTCAAATTTTAAAAAAATTCAATTTTAGGGGGGTACGAATAGCAAATTTGGGGGTATGTATAGCAGCCGCCTATTAATATTAATATTAGTATTAACATTATAGTCAATATATATATAAGTATTAATATTTGTATTAATATTGGTATTAACATTGTAGGTATCAATGTTGGTACTAATGTCGGTATCAATGTTGATTTCAACTACTATGTAAATTAAATTTTTTTTAAACCTATTTTTATATATTTACTTCTGAATATATTAATCCACATCTAACCATCTTAAGAATATTGCCCTTTTTGCAAACCTCTATCAAAAGTCTTTATGTTAAAAAAAAAACTTTATCCAATTATTCAAAATTTTAGTAACAATTCATTATTCATGATTAATTGTTATCGTTATATAATGAGTTTATATTTATTATTAATTTTATTGGAAAAATAATATGAGAAATATTATATCCTCCGAAGTTTGGAGATCAACGGACTGTATATCTTAATGTGGGTCCAACTGACAATATTATAAATTCAAAAAATTTTTATTAGCGCAAACTTTAAGGGTAGAGTGTACGTCGATCATTTTACATATAAAAATCGGTGTTAATTTTTTTTGTGTAACATTTCGGAAATCGAATACAAATCGAATACTCTAGAATCTTCTAAAATATAATTTATTACTAATTATTCGTTTGTACAAGTAAATTCACATTCTTTACCGTTCCCTCTATAACTAAACTATGCATACGTGATCCCTATTAACTTACGTTCTTTTCGTTCCAATAAAATGGGTTGTCTTACCAAGCCACGACAAACTTACTTGACCCAATACGACCAATTATTCGCTTGTACAAGTGAATTCACGTTTTCCACCGTTCCCTCTATAACTAAACTATATATTACGTGGTCACTATTAGCTTTTCGCTCCAGTAAAATGGCTTGTCTTACCAAGCCACGACAAACTAGATCGGTTAATGCTAGCTCAGCGCTTGCTCTTATTTTTAATACTTTTGGCTTTTTGCGGTTATCGAGTCCTAACTGATTTAATTTTTTTTTTTGAAACTGTGCGTTAGTCGAGCCGCAAAAAATATCTACGATATCTGACGGTATGATCGGCCTGTCATTATTTTTACATAACATCTCCACCACATTTAACATGTCTAAGATATCTATTCACGCATCCTTCAGCTGTACACCATCATTTCCACGTTTATCACAATTATCGCATGAATCGCCACAGACTGGTAGGGTTGGGTCTCCTGGCCACTTGAAGTATCTTGATAATTGCTGAAAACGGCATTCGTAGGAAGTAAGACAATAATATACTACCTCGAACAGTCGACGTTGAGCATTGATCAGATAAAGATCTCGATCAAAAGTTTTTTCATCATGGTCTTCATTGCTCATTCTATCCCCTGAAATAATAGAATAGTTGGTGCGGATATCCTTTCGAGAGTAAAGGATCACACAGTTGGCACCTTCTTGATCTCTTCCAGCTCGACCCGAATGTTGAATTAGATCAGCTATTGATGAAGTATTAATCGATATGATTTTTATAAAATTTGAATTTAATAGAATATTATTGTACTTACTCATGCTCATTGGAAAATTATAGTGTATCACTAGGCGAACATTAGGCATATCTATACCCAACCCAAAGGCTGTTGTTGCAATCATAATACGGATTTGTTTTTTGTTCCATTTTATTATTGTTTCTGTTTTTTTTGATTTCCGGTAATTGCCCATGATAAATGCCTAACATTTTATTTTTCATTTTAGAATTTAATATTTCAAATACTTCTGAGCAATCTTTAACTCGCGCACAGTAAATTATAACGTGATCAGTTTCTTTTACATCTTTTATCAAATCTTCTACTTGCTTTATCCAACCCATCTTAGCATCTTTTCGATCTAG